ACACAAAGCATTGAGGTTGGAGCATTTATCCTCACATGTATGATTTCATCTCGTGGGATATTACAGCTGAAACTGTTTGTACTGAAATCATTTTTAGTACCTCTCTAGCAAGCAATATGTATTTTTCAGCGGAGATGTCTTGGTGCTTGTTCCTGCACTTCATGCAACAAAAACACCTAGGCACGTACTTAAAGCTTAGCTCTTCATCGGTAAAAAAGAATCAGAAGGCAACTGAGCATGGGTTTTCCTTCTGTGACTCGATCAGGATCTGTGCTTAGCTGACAAGTGCTGAGCTCATGTTACCAGTGTGTTAACATGGGAGGAATTTTGTGGGTGTTGGTGTGGTTCTATGCATCAAGCATGGGAGGAGATGCTCGCAGCACCTGGAGAGAGTGAAAATGCTAAAAAAAAAAGACAAGCCAGCAGAGAGAAGAGAATCTGCAGTACGAACCAAAGGAACACACTGTGAGGACGGCACCTCCCACCACTGGCCACCATGACCTGAGGCCTGGCAGCCTGCCTTTTTTTCAAATGCATGTATGTATGCACACATAGCTCCAAGAACTTTGCTATCTCTTGCTATCTCAGGGCCTAATGAAGTAAAATTACAACTTGAAATTCTACTGTTCTTCTCTATTCGTAATAGTACTGTAAGGAAGGACAAAACGTGCTGCTATTCAGTCAATTAACTTCCCCTTTCATCTTTTTTACTTAAGTGCTATTACTGCTCATGCTTCCAGATGACACAGGAATACGGGTCTGTGCCTTCCTGCCGCATGAAAGATGCGTGCAGTGCTGCCGCCTCCTGGTCCCAGAGCGAGAGCAGCTAGTCCCAGGTGGGTGAAAGAGCAGCTGGATAGAAGTCAGCTTCAGCTTAAATCAAACATTTCATAAAGGCACTGTGGATGTTTTGGATAACTTTAATGAATGTATGATATGTATATCATATATATGTGTATGTATGTATGTATATATATAGTTTTCTAATCAATCGTAGGTTCATTTTATTCCAATTTCATGGAATAAAATGAAAAAAGCTGACAAACTGAGTGGTTATTTGAAACAGAATACACAGTTTTATCAGATACGTGTGCATACTTAAATCTCTTGTAAAGTTATACACTTATGGGTAAAGGAGACTGACTTCAGCCATATATGATGCACATTTAAAATACATGTTATATAATCGATAGGCAATATTTAATGTGTAGATTAATAGCTAGTATTTAAAACAGACTAATGAATGCTTGTGATGTTCTTAAAGAATGTTGTTTAACAGCTGCCTATATGATGTTAAAAAGTGGTATTTAGTAACCATTCCTATATTTTAAGAAATGACCTTTCTAAATTTTGTTTGTAAAAAAACCTGATATACATGCATATAGTATTTTCCTCTCTATTATTCCATTTAATATCTACTGGTACGTAAAGTGTTCTGCCACATGCGTCTTCCTTACAGCCAAATACAAATGCCAAGGGATATCAATTGATGTCAATAATCCTCAATTGCACACAAATCATGACTACTGATTAGTAAAGCAATTATCATATTAAAAGAGTTCAACAGGGCTCAACATACTGTAAAATTAGAAATCAGTCAATAGCACGGCCATTATATAGAACAGCATTGATTGGATGTACTGAATGCTAGCCTTGATGACAATTGATCAGAACGAACCCTTCTCACAAAGGAGTCTGGTACACTAATTGAGAAGCCATCATTAAATAGAATAGATAATCAAGAAGGAGAAGGGGGGGAGGAGAAATGGATACAAAGCTAAGAGAAACAATAGAGAGAAACAATAAAAAGAAAAGAGCCAAGAACATCTCTGTCCCTGTACTAGTTCCTGAGAGTACTTCTCCAAAAGCAGATGATCCTAAGAAACCCCCACAGGTCATATCTATAATCTGTTTCAAAGCTGGGGAATGTGTTTGAAATCACACAAACAAACGAGTTTTTCCACCACAAGCATTTCCAAAAGCAAATCACCCTTAGAGTATAAAACTCAGAGGTTCTGTCTGCAATGCATCTGTGACCTAACTTCACTGGTCTACTTGAAATCAGGCCTCAAATCACACAGCCCTGGAAAGCTGCACAGGCTGCCCTGCTGTTTTCACTACTGCTCCAAGAAATGGGTGGCAGAAACAAGACCAGAACATCTTCTGTATTACAGTGCCTTCAGCATTACATTGAATTTCTAAGTACAAATGAAACAAACCTCTCTGCATTATAATGAAATGTTAAGAAGGATGCACAGAAAAGAGTCTTTTAGTGCCAACTAGATGGCACTATTCACATTACTTTTAATGCACATTTCTTATAATACTTAGAGAGAGTCCCTGAAAACAGATGCAAAAGGGACTTGATCAGGTAGTTAGGAAAGAGAGAGGATCAGCAGGTCAGCTGAAGTCAGAGAGAAGAGCACTGCAGATGTTCCTAAGGATAATGCAGCTGCAGAAGAGACATTCGGACAATAGAGGATTAAGAACTCTGTAGTCACAGCAGTCATTCTTCACATGCAAAAGCATTAAAGGATGATGAGTGGTTTTACCAAACTCTGACTAAATTCTCAGAGCCCAAAAGGTCATGAAGTTACTTATCACTATGTCTTCTAATCATCTGTAATGCTTCTCTTGATATAAGTAAGATTTCTCATGTCTGAGCTAGGCATTATCTTAATAAACAGCAGGGCATTTAGGCATCCCTTACACAGTGTTGCCAAACATTATAGAAAACAAAGTCACACCTCAAGACTTCTGGTCCCCTCTGATCTTTGATAACATAAATGTTCTTGGAGAGCCAGGGAATTTAGAGAAGCTGTCTAAAAAACTGGTAAATTAGGGCAATGACAGTCAATTACACATAACCTCACTGGAAAGTTAAAAAGCTTCAAGTTACTTTACACTATTAGCAGAGCAGCACAATATACTTTAAACATGAGAAGTGATTATATCCAAATAACTCTTCTTACTCCAGAGGTTAAAACCCAGAAATAAGAACCAGGCCCTAAAGTCATTTCGTTCTGCACCTATAATGCAAACGTAAAGACGGTTTACTCTTTTACCACAAGTTCTACTCCCCCCCCAAGGAAGATGTAGGCAGTAGTAACACAAGCATCTTAAAAGTTGCTTTCAAGTGACTTCTTTACAAGCTCCAGTGTTGGAAGCATACCTGAGGAAGGACATTTTTTGAGTGCTTGATCCACTGGAAAAAAAAAAAAAGAAAAAAAAAATTACATAAGAAATAAGTTGCAGTTTCCCAACTTCCCACTCAGAAGTTATCATGAGAACATGATCTTTTTACTGCCATCACATCCTCCTCCTGGAGGAGGAGGACATGGTTGTTTTCCAAAAGATCATAGCCAAGCAACTCCTCCATAATGCTAGCGCTCTGAGTGCAGTAAACAATTATGGTTAAAAGTGTCTGCCAAAGGCCACTGCTGACAACTGCAAGTGGAATACAGAACATGCATAGAATATCGAGGGAAAGGAGAGGGAGAGATGGAGGGTAGGTTAAAAAGCAACTATAAAAACAAGAAACAATTCTTCTAAGCTTGGTAAGAAAGTAGTCTCCATTTGAAGTCAGGCTAGCATTCACACCTCAGCTATCATTGAGAAGTTGTTGGGTTCAATGTTTGCTTTAAATGTCACTGTCTGCATAAAAAAGTACCTCTTTGACAAAGTGTTTAGCTTTTTCTTGTCAAGATAGTCAAAAGATGGCAGAGAAAACAGACAGAAAGACACACACACACACCCTGTGCCTACTCCTTCCACAGCTGAACAAGTGATGTGTGATACTTGCAGTTTCAAACATGCAAGATGAGTTATAACTGTAACAAGGATCACATATCCAACAGCTCTTCTCCTTTCAGTGAGCTGGGGAAGCATTGCATGACAGGTAGAGAGGGACATCATCTCCTATTGTCTTCTAAAAACATTTTCAAACGAGAAAATTTGTGTTACAACAATTCTGATCTCACCATCTCTTTCCTTCTCTGTCCTTTCTTTTTGCCTATTCTGTCTCCCCTTCCAACTCTGAACAAGATGAAGTGACATGGTAAAGCAAAAGTCATAGGCCCAGTACATATTTTAGCCCTCTACACAGAACTACAATTTCTGTTAGTGTCTTAAAGACCTCTGCCACACAGAAAAAAATATTTTCTGTTTTAAACTCTGGCACACTGAAGAGATTTAAGTAGTATTATTTAAGATTTAAGAAGCAATAACTACAACAGAGCATAGTGGAAGCCATGACATAGGTTTTCCTTAATTTGTGCAATGCATTCAGACAGATACAGAAAGGAATAGGAAAATCAGAAGACAAAATATAAATTTTTAAATATATTTTTCCACACCACTGTCCTTGGCTTTCACCAAATGATCTTCATGTCACACAAGCAGGCACCTGGAACACGTTGCCATGGCTGCTGTGCTGCTGTTGGTCAGTGGTACAGTGGGAAATATCCTACCTGGCAATCACTTGTCTTGTGACATGGAGAGTAAAGTCAGCAAGTGCTTTTTTCCCCTTCTGACATCCAACACTTCATCTGCATCTGGGAATTCTGAAAACATTATGGTGAACTGTTCCACATCTTCTCACAGGGCAAGCGTATCTCTACAACAACACAGTGCCTGCAGCTCACAGGAAAACAGCTAAACAAGGTGCTGATGCAGGTTGTGAAGACATATGTTTTATTAGTAGTTAAGAAATCACCAGTTAAGTCTCTAAGTAACTCAAAGATTTCTTTAAAACACGTGTTCTAACGAACCTAGGTAATTTTACTGCAGATTCTTCACATTCATCATTGAAGAGAATTTCACAAGAATCTCATAAATGTTCCTATTTTTAAACCAATATCCTTATTTGAAACAAAATACTGTTGTTCATGGCTTCTCTACTGTGTCATAAGCAAAATATCTGACAGGGACAGCAGGAAAGAATTTTAATATAAAAAAAGCCCATTTTCCATGAGGATAAGTCCAGTCAAAAAAACAGGAGATAAAATAAATAACATTTAGTAAACATTTCCATTTCCCACAAACCCATTTTCTGTCACTAGCTGGCAATATTTTTTCTGTTGCTCTTCCTTGAAAGACTCTTTGACTTTTTTTCTTTTCAGTCCTCCATCCCTGAAAAATACAGATAAGGAAATGGCCTTCAGTTCATGTCAGAGTAAAGGTAGAAAAACGTTACAGTAATTACAGCGCTTAATAAGAGCAACTTTCACCCTAGATGCTGGCTTTTGCAGTGCTACACTAAATGATTTATTCTGCCAAGATCTATCACGCTATAAACAAGTGCCACCCTTTAATCTGATGTTTAACAAACAAAGTGTTTATTCTCACCAAATTCCACTTTCTGGTTGGAACTACCTGTCAACTCTGTTTATCTTTTTATACTTTATTAGTCTACCTATACTAGTAAAGCTGTTCACAAAATAAGGAAATAGTGCCTCACTCAGAGTCTGTAAGGGTGACGGACTACAGCCAAGCAAAGAAAACAAGGAAGAAGTTTTAAAAGGAATCTAGCAATAAGTTTTAGATTACAAAACACCTAAATACGTTTTCAGCTCATTTTCAAAGACGTTCCCTCTTACCATGGGAGTACAGACATTCCTCCCCGAGCAGCAATGACAGCCTTGACTCTGTTGGCAAAGTGAACAGCATCTTCTTCTTCCTGTAAAAGATACCAGTGATTTGCTGTGCAGTTGAAATGTTTTCTCTATGTCTCACTCGAAGAGACACCTTTTGTCAGAAAATAGGCATCAGATATACTTCAGCTGCTCCTCAGGAATGCCACCTGGCAAGTCAGCATGCTGAGTTTGCCATCATCCAATGCCAAGAGAACAAAGTGTGAGGCTCTATGCCTTCCATGGCAATTCAAAGTAACTTGTAGAACAAGGTCACAGGTCTGGACAGAGCATGGGAATGTATGTTCACCCAGTACCTTGGTACCAATCTAACCCCAGGAAGCTGGGAACACACTCAAAGGATCACATTGGAGGACGTGAGGTGCCTTGAACAGAGCTGGGGCCAGATACCACAGTACCAGTGAATTTTCATGGGCCAGCGAGGGTCTGTTTGCTCCACTGCAGAGGACACTCAACTGGCTGTTTCCAGTATCCCACACAATCTCTTTATGCCAGAAAGAAAATAACCACACAGAGAAATGACTATAAAGTATTAAATTACTTAAATTGGTCTGACTTGCAGGGAGCTAGTAATTTGTGATTCTGAAGCAGATAGAAACTAGCCAAATGAAAACTATAGAAAGAATTTTATAAGACTATTCACTTTCTGGAACTTGCTCACTAGGTATGGAAAAGTGCTGTGTTCTCTAATAAAACAATAAAGACCAGTAAAAGATAACCTTCCGGACCTAAGATCCATCTACCCCTTCCTACAGCTACTGTTATACCTTCTCAAGTCTATTACAATTAAAGGACTTTTTTTTTTTTTTTTAATTTCTAAATAGATGGATGGTATATAAACCTATGTGTTATAAATGTTTTGTATACCAGGTTAGCCAAGAATTTCAGCAAGAAGCACGCTAGAGAGAGGATGCAAATCCATCTTTCAAAATTTTGCAACTCTGTTTTGTTAAGTGTGCAGTTTCTCTTGCAGCAGGCATGTATGAATGGTGACCATACTTCAAGTATGCAGTTACAAGGACTCTGAGATATCCATGCATAGCTAAGTGACTATGGTACAGGAAGTTTACAACCTTCACAGAAATTAGCTTAATTTATGTAAAGAGTGCACCATGAATCTTAGAGATGGAAATAACAAAACCAACATAATAAAATAAAATTACTTTCAGAGCAGCCCTCATCTTGCTTTCATTATCCTAATAGGCTACACATCCTGATTTACAATCTCTACTCAATTTTAGGAGTACAGTGTCACTTCCTACTTTTTCCATTACACTGTCAATAAAGACTTGCTGGCATCATGACAACAGTAATGCAGGTTTCCTCTTAGAAACAATTTATGAGCATTTCTAAAACACAGACAAAAGCATAAGTACCTCTTTGACCATCGGTGGCAGGTACCACACATTGCAGACAATAGCCCAGCTGGTCAACACATTAAAACCATAGGTCATCATGGAATACTTGGTGCTGTTCCAGAACGCATCTCCAAATCGAGGGTCATACTGGAAGACAAGGACAAGCTAAAGGGCTCAGACTGCTCTCTAGGTGGTACGTTAAGTTGTACAGCACACACACAGAACGACAAGGGCAGAGGTAACAGCAATCAGAGATGATCCAGAGATAAAAGAAGCACTACGATGATGATCCAGTAGAAGAGCACAAAAAGATACGATGGCAGAAGTTGTATGATGTCAGTTCTGAAGAAAGACAACCCAAAGGCGCAGGACACCCAGTACACGCATCACCTCCTGGAAGTAATTACAGTTCAAAGCTTCATGTTTTAACATTTGTTGCAAGTTAATACAAGTTAACCTGCATATCCTGACGGAAGAAAAGGGCCAACAGTACCCAGTGGTGAAACAGACACAGTGCTGATGATTGAGGGAAGGGATTGCCTGCAGCAAGCTCCCCAGGGCAGTGATCATGGCACCAAGCTGCCAGAGTTCAAGGAGCATTTGGACCCTGCTCTCAGACATTGGGTTTTAATGTGGGATGGTCCTGAGTTGAGCTCAGTCCCTGGCACTATGATCCTTGTGGGTCACCTCCAACTCAGGATATTCTGTAATTCTAGGAACCTTTACAAGTAATACAAGACCTCAAACTAGGACAGACCCACTGAAACAAATCTTAACTATAATCAGATAGAGCTACTCAATATGTAAAGATTTATCTTCTACAGATGTGCTGACTTGAAAGGTTTACTTGATAATGCTCACACTACTTGTAACAATTTCCATAAGGTTATGCAACGTTGTAGCTTCAGGAAAAGGAAGTCATGTATCTACAGCCAGAATGACTTGGCTAAAGCTTATTAGAGAGACTTGCAAGTGCCAAGGGAATAATTCAATTACTAGTGCCTTTATCCATCATGAGCCAGGAACATCAGAATGGAAAGACCAGGTAGAACTAAACACACAGCATCGTACTTTTACAAGTTGTTCCTAAGCCATTCAGCATTTTCCATACTTACCTTGATAGCTACCGGATGGATGATCCCTCCTACTTCAAAGCTTCCCTTCTTAAACATCATAACTGATGTGTTGTTTATGCAGGTACCTAGCCAGAATGGAAATGAGTGAAAAGTTCAGTCCATTCTGCAAAAAAACATCAGCAAATGCATACTATATTGCCTTAAAGAGAACGAAGTTGCTAGAAGAGAAAAAAATCTTTCATTCAGAAACATAATTCCATTATATTATGCTCTTAGGTAAGAGACTAAGAAGCAAAAGGGTTAATGTCTCAAACACTTGGTAGAAGTGTAAAATCAGCACTGAACCAGATAAGGAGTAAGATAAAGAGTGATCGGAGGAGGAGGGTCTTGTGAAGGAGGAAAGGCAGTTTCTGATAATATGAATATCTGTTGAATTACAACAGAAAAATTGAATTACAACAGGAAAATTTAGTAGGAAAAGGAGAGATCTGACAAACTACACCTTCACACCAAAGAGGGTCAACTAGTAGTCATCTGGGCAGAGGGAGAGTGAGACTTCCTGAAGCCCCTCTGACTCACTCCCCGAATAGTCTAGATCTCAAATATCAAGTTGTACTTGGGCAGGGGTAAGGCCCTGCCTTGATCACAACGTTACAGGGGGCCTGACAGCCACCTGAGACCCCAGAGTTATTTACAACTGCTGACTGAACCACTTCTTGGGGGGCAGGGCACAAGCATGTGAAAGGCAGAATACCGCCAGTTCAGGTATGCACCCACCACAGGAAGAGCAACCGTGTCTACACTGCGAGATCCGAGGGTAGAGATAGCTCATTTCTTTGTTTTATTCTTTCCTCTCTCTGTCTGTCTGCCTGTCTGTCTCTCTCTCTCTCTCCCCAAGTCACATTAGAACATAAAGCAAGCCATACTATATCTTATTGGCAATAAGCTATGATAGATACTTCAGTCAAAATATCATAGTGGGATACAAATGAACATTTAACTGATCATTTAGTGTAATTTCATCTTAATTTACTCCAAATGATTCTTGAACTCTGTGATCTCCACACGTTACTCAGAGTAGCTTGGAGTCAGGTTGCAACAGACTAAACAAAATGAACTGTCATAAAATTGCGTTACATAGTAGAATCTCACTTTTAACATCTCACAAGAGCTCACTAATTCTACAACAAACACCTCTAAAGATTAGACATGATAAACTGCACTCAGTGTAAAGTGAGCAAAGCAATACAGAGTTGGTTCCTACCTTCTGGAAAAATTAGAATGGGTAATTTGGCCTTGTCTGCAATGTGTTCTCTGATTCTGTGGAGAGAAAATAAAATTTCAATGTACACTTCATTACTGCAGAAGACTCTCGTATTTCTATGTGGTCGGGAATCGAAATATGGATTCTCTCTTACATAGAACAGGAAAAGCTCTTGGCTAGTAGTTCTTAGACAGACAGTGGTCTCAGCAAGGATGTGCACTAGTTTCAGGCCTTGAAGGTTTTCTCTTGCTAAATATGTAAATAGATTTTTCACAAAAAAAAATCTTTGACAGGTTCTAGTAATGAATAATGTTGAATTTTTGTTGACCACTGTTTTGCTTTTTTAATAAACAATATTCTATATTTTAAAGCTTTGTGCTGATGCATATACACACACACACACCTAAAGTTTTCCACACCTATATGTGAGAAACGAAGCTATTTTACTGCATTTTCTTTATTACTTAAGAACAACTGCTTTTAAGCAAATAAACCACTTAAGCAGATTACTGACACACAAAAATCTATCCGTTTTCAAGACACCTATCTGTCTTTCCTATGAATCAAGAGTTCCTCTGAACTCCATGTAAAAGAGTACAAACAAAACATCAAATACCAAAAAGAAAACAAAAACAGATCTGTCCAGTAAAGGGGCACCTTTTCCCTTTCCTAAGGACTAATTGCCATAAGTGCTTGTTTCATGTTAGCTGCATTGCACCCTATTTCATTAACATTTCAGATGACTAAGAGGACCTAAGACACCAACAAATGGCATAACAAGTCTATCATTTTCATGTCCTGAAAAGTCTAATACACCTTCTCTGCCAGGAACAGCAGTGCAGGGCTTTAGAGCAGTGCAGGAATCAGGTACTGACACTTCTCCAAGATGGTCTTCCAGCTTCTAGCAGCTAGGTGGTACCGCCTATGAACTTGTTTAATTCCTTTTGCAGATTTTGAGTGCAAGACAGCTGAGTACTGTGGATGTTTCTAATGAGCTGCAACTCGCTTCCTCAGATAGTCTACCAATCTCCACAAGAAAATAGGTAAGCCCGATGTTAATGTTTGCTATTGTCAGCTTTCTTTTCTCCTGTACTTACAACAGACATAACCAGATTTCTGATGCTCAGAGCTTTTGGGAGAACGTGCAAAGGTAAGGTATGATCTAGGAAAATGATATGCTGACAAGAACTCTGATGTTGGTCCTGACATCCAGAATCATCAACTTTGAAAACGAATGAGCAGGCATCTGCCTGTGGCAAGCAGCCTGATTGTGCCAATGTGGAAATTCACAGAGGTTAGAGGACAAACAATCAGAAGCTCCAAAGAGCAGTGCTACAGCCTGCATCATCATCGTCAGAGTAGTTCCAAATCTTACAAACACCTACAGCTGCCTGCCAAGAAGAGATTCAGGGTCACAACTCACTCAGCTCACAATGGGACCTCACAATTGCAAGAGCTGATGAGAAAAGTAAGCAAAGATCTCACTGTCCTACCTTTTTCTCACCAGATGTCGATCTTTCATTTCTGAACGTTCAAACAAAACATGCTGACTGGTTTGCATACAAGATTTCTGAATAAGTCCCAGAAGCCCTCCGTGTACCTGGCCAACCTGTAAGCCAAAAACTGAAATATTTATATGGCAAAAATACACATAATTATTTAATTGACTAAAATCTAACTAAAGATGCATAAACTTCTAAACTTGTTCCATGAATTATACCAATTGTTTTGGACAAAAGTGTGCATTCACTTACCTGTCTGAACAGAAGTTCCGAGTAGGAGAATTTAAATGCTTGAAAATTCCACTCTCTCTACCAATAACTTTATCCTCCTGCCCAACACCGTATCTGTGAGTGCCTCAATATTACCAATATTTACCAGCTGTCTTGCTCATACCAAGGAGTAGCATCCATCACTAGCCAGGATTAGAACATCTAGTGGAGATGTGTGGTTGGCTACACAGATGCCTCCTTTCCGCGGTCTGTTTTCCCTGTAACAACAGCCATGAGAGTAATTACTTCACATTTATTCTTCAGACTGCAGGCCCCACCAGGTCATCTCTCTAGCGAGTGTACACCCACAACAAAGATCCTTGGTGACAAAAACATAAAATGGACATACATTATCTGTATGTACAGATAACAGAAGCACAAGAACACAAGACAATTTAAAATACAAGTATAACTCTAAGGCATGTTAAAACTTCTGGCAGTACACTACAGAAGCCATCTTTCCCCATGCATTTGGGAATTCCTTCAGATTTCAATAGTTTTGGTCAAAATCATTTTCCTTACAGCTCAGAATATGCAACATCACTGGAGAAAGCATTTCCACAGCATTAATTACCATTCTCAGAGGCATATATCAAAGACTACTCAAGCACTAAACTGGAACTCATAGATACTAAAAAGCATGGCTTTCTTTCCTTCCTAAATTATCAACAAAAATTACTTTGAGGGCCTCTGTTACATAAACCTTCACAACTAAGCAAGCAAGAAATTAGAAGTAGTTACTGAAACATCATCCATAACATGCTAGAAAGGTGAATACGAAGACTTAGGTTATCAAGTTGGCTAATAGAGCAGTTGATGTTTTAATTGCCTAGAAAAACATCACCACAGAAACACGTTAATAGCAAACATAAGGGAAAATGTTGAAGTCTGTATTTAATGAAGCATACAGTACTACTCCAACACTGCATTCTCTGCAAATACCCAAGAGACAACACAGCAGAGCACAAAAACATCTTGAAAGAAATCTTGAAAACATCTTGAAAGACAGAGAGTCTACATGACCTACACAAGTTCTACCAAGGCTGCAATTCAATATGAGTATCAGTGTATTAATGGAATTAAAACCGTCTCTGAAACTTGAGATTCAGCACTGTGTGAGATGAATAATAGACAAGAGCAGGGTTGCACCACTCACCTGTTGTGGAATTGAACAAGACCACTCAGACATCGGACACCTAACGCAGCACATGTCAGCTGAACTTGGTTACTCAGCCAGCATTTAACCCTGGAAGAGAAAAGTCACCACACAATTGTGCACATCAACTCTCCAAATTCAAGCATATTTCAGTTCCAATACCCTAATTCAGCTCCTCAAAGAAATCCAAGAGAAGAGGAAAGAGCCCTCAGAAAACACCCACCTGCCATTTGGAAACTGTCCTACTACCGTAGTTGCTGAGACCAGCAAGAGGATGCTGAAGAAAGCCAAGAAGATGCTAAAAAGTAAAATAATCTTCATTAATTGGTAAGAATGAAATTTGGAAGAGGAAGCTGAAAGAAAATCTTTCAATCCTTTAATTCTTTTCCAGGATGCTTCTATCCACCATAAATAGCATCAAACTATCATCACAAAGCAGTCAAAGCAAATGAGATATGAGTACAGGTTTTCATTCGATTAATCCTCCAGTAGAAAACTGTGCTTCTTGAAACCTATTTTACAAAAAGAGCCACAAGTTGGTCTCAAGGCATCAAGTGGAGAATAATTCATTGTCTTCAAAATAGATGGCAAGTAATGATTATGAGATTTGTTAACACAGGTGACATTTCTGAGTAGCACAATGGAGAGCTACCATCAAGCTTTTAAAAATCTACTCAGAAATTTCAGTAGCTATTTCTATTCCAAGCAGTAAGTTACTCTAGAACCATGAAAATTAGGTACTGTTGGACACTAATGGCTTAGCAAAACAAACATTGAAGTTATCCCTACTTAAATGGTGTCCTCTACTTAAGTGGTTCTACATATTTAAGTAGACACACAGGCGCTTGTGCTCTGCTATGTGCTTAACTGTTATGAAATCCTTCAACATATTCAAAAAGAGTAAGACATTTTACAAGGTTCTGCTCCTTGCTAGAATGTATTTATAGTTGTATGTGCCTTGTCAATGTGATAAAGGCTGTTTTCATGTAAAAGAACACAGAAATTTCTGTAAAGAAACACACTGTGGGCTATCTCTTTCTTCCATCCAGCCCTGCGCTGACAGAACGCAAGCTTTGCTTCACATCCCAAGGGTTCAGCATACAGTCTCTCTCTTCCTCACACAGGTAAAGCTCAACTCTCAGCTGAAACAGCTTTTATTTTACATAATGAAAGGATCTCCAGATCTTTGCTATGATTTAAAAAACAAATTAGATGAATAGATGCATTTGCATACTAATAAAATATAGAGAACATAAGAAACATATCTTGAGCTTTCTTTTTTCCCCTCTGGAGATCTTTGGTGGCAACCTGGAAAGCAAAGTCACGTCACCTTCTTTCTCATTTCTGCACTAGTCAATAACATATAACATCATACCTTCTATTAAAAGCAATCCAAAAACACAATCCCAACAAATTACCCTTGGCTCACCGAAAGGGCACCAGGAGACAGTACCGGATTAAGATCCCAATGATCCACACAGTGGTCAGTTGCCAGCTGACACGGTGAAAGTTGGCATTGGTTCTGCTGAGGAGATTCCAGGACAACAGCTCCTCAGAGGTGAACCGCTGTGTGACTTCATCTTCTGCAACTGTCTCACACCCCTTCTTGGCAAAGTACATAATATCTGCAAGGCTGAAGTATCCCCTGTGCTGGCCAGCAATCTCCTTTTCCATGGAGGTTTCCTCTCTCTGGATGATCCCTTTGTTTCAAGAAACAAGTAGAAAAATAAAGACAAAAAAACAAGCCAAAAGCATGAGGAAATGAGCCTTCCTTCCCACTTGGTAAAATGGACAACACAGAGTCCAAAAAAAGTAAAATAACTGTACTTCTTAGAAATATCATTCCTTCTTTCTATGCACTGTAATTGAATTGGTATATTTTGTGTATATACTAGCACTTTAATTCCATAAGTTACTTCTCTAATCCTATGCCATATCACACCACTAAATTATTGGAGGAGACAAACATTCAGAATAAGCTGCAAATAAAACTCTGAGCACAACACCTACTTCACTGTCATTTATCAAACAAGGTAAGTACACACAGCTCCAAATGTTGCCTGTACTGCTTAGATTACAGATCTCTCCTCTTGCCTTGACTCAAAGCTAGGTGTTGTTTATATTGTTGTTGATTTTGCTGCTGTTGTTTAGTTCTACTTTTTACAACTGGGAAAATACTGTGGAACAAACACCTGCCTCTGGCATTTTTTCTCAGCCCCCATCCTCTCTCCTACAAGAGTCACCTCACTACCAACAAACACTAAAGCTTTAGATTTTTCTCTGAGTTATACACACCACAAGATAAATGCAGAGTAGAGAAAGAATAAAAAATAATTCATATTTCATATCTGTAAAATTAATGCCTCACAGGACAACCACACCTGTGACCATACCAATGTTTGCTGAGGTCACTCAGAGACCAGATTCTGGCTGGTTACAATGACTAGAATTTCACTGAACCATATCAGCTAATATTCGGGGGGGGGGTTGTTCTTTTTTTTTTTAATTTTTAAATAAGGCTCATTTTGAGATGTTTAATCAGCATACTATTAACTGATCAGAATCAGAAAACTTCCTTAGCTGTACTTTGGTCAAACTTACAGCGTCCAGGAAATCACCAGACTTGAAGGTCATTAGTTAATGAACCAGTCCATGTGACTAATGACTAAGGATGGCACTAGCCAGTTCCTTTGTGGGAAAGGAGAAAGGAAAAACAGATGTGAAAAAAATTTACTCTAATTCTTTCCCTATATCTAGAGTAAGTGCAAGATGTGTCTGTGATCCACAGGGTAGCATAGCTGCTTTACCTGAGACTCAGGCTTTTGTATGCTAGGAGATACAAAAAGCAAGAGAAAACAGAAAATGACCAATGTTCACAGCAACTGGACATCAGTCACTCCTAATCTTGTAAATAGAGAGGACTGCTGGAGTCAGAAATACAAAACAGACATAAAAAAAGAGACAGCTTCCCTCCTGGTTATCAGCAGTTCCTTTCTTTACCCAAACTGGTTTCCTTTAATGCCTTTTATTCAGAAGGCTCAATCGTTCAGATATCTTTCTTATTACACACATAAGGCCTCATTTGTTGGTTTACAACATCAGCCACTATTTGCTCATTAACTCTTTATTTACCATCCTAGTTTTCCTACTTAGCATGAGATTAAATTTATTTATCTGTTCACTCTTTCCTAGGTAAGATATCACAGTAGCTGCCTTTATACCAGATGAACAGTGCTGTGTCACTGTTGTTCGGAGATCTTACCGTTGGCGATTAAATTTTCAAGCGCCAGCACCTTCTGCATTTTTATCCCCTTCTCAATCTGCAGGGTGGCCCACTGTTCTCAAAACAAGAAAAGTAGATGGTGATGGTTTTCATTTTGTCATTTCCAGGTACTGTGTAACATCTTTACATGAATTGTCTGAGCCTCCTTTATTGAAGCCAGGACTCAGATTTGCAGTTTTCAAATTCTGAAGGCTGCCTTGAACACCTCCTATTTTGTTAGTTACATTGATTACTTGTAGTCATTATAATGAAGGATTATTTGGCTCAAAGTCATTTTCAGGAGTTTTTATTTTTCTTTAACCATATTACTGAGCTATCTATGAGACTCTGAGGACCAAGAGTCCCAAATTCTATCTTACCCAGTCAGCTTCAGGCAACAGAATGATGCAAATTAATATTACTGAAAAAAAAACATTCTGGGAAAAAAAAGACTTAAAAATGGATTTTTAAGAATAAAAGAAATGACATCAGTCTTACAGCATTCATGAAATTTGTCTTAACAGAATACAAGGGAGGGACTATTTCACATTCACAGCGTTTCCAAAGTAGTAGCTGTGGGTAATGAACTTTCATCCTTCCTAGTCTTCCTGAAAAAAAGCAAAATTTCTTCTACTTGTGCAGACTAAACTCAAGATCAACCATACCAATACGCCTACTTCTAAAGTTTTATGTTGGTACTAAATGTTTTCATGATACATGTATGGGCATATAAACAGTAGACCTCAGTACTAGATCTTCCTCAGTTTGTATCAGTGTATGTGTCTTAATAAAGAACTTCAGGTTCCTGTTCATAGGCTCTGATTGCCTTTTAAGGAATCAGTGATCCACTCAGCAAATGTCCTCACCTGACATTAACGCTTCCACCTATGATGGACAAGAGTCCATGCTTCTATTCCAGCTCTTAGCAAACAGTTCTTAGCGAGCTCTTAGCGAACAGCTTGTTTCTCATCTTACTGACATGCATAACCATTTAAGCAACACATAGATTGACCATGAAGGGTTTTCATTGCATTGCAGACCTATAAATCTGCATGTGCCATTGACCGACTAGATTTTTGCTATGCTTAAGTTTTGCATGGTTCCTAACAGCTCCTTTCTTAGCCACTGAAGTTAAACTCGATGACAAGACAGAGACGGTTTATCATGGCAGAATCAAGATGTTGTAGTTGGCTTTGGTTGACTTTTGCTACCTGCATCTTGGGGGGGAGGAGGGAACAAAAACACCCAAAGGAAAACAACAAAGATAAAAAGACACAGCGATGTGATACATTAAACTCCATTAAATCCATCTTACATAAGACCGGCAGGGGGTGGAAGGAGGGAGGTAGAGAAAAAGCAACAAAATACAGACCTTTGCCTTATCTATGCTAGGAAATTAAAATACAGTGTAAATTTAAAATGCAATAGCTGTTCCAGAATCCCTTACTCCCTAAGAAAGCGGAACTGGTACATCAACTGTCTCAAGCTGTGATAACACATGGTGAGTCATTCAGGAGTGGGAATCTAGGAGATATCAAAAAACTACAGCCCACACACTGAGAAGAGAAAGAAGACACTCCATGTGAAAAAGAGCATTCTGGGAAAAAAAAAAAAGAAAAAAAGAAAAAAAAAATCAAGGTAGACACATTCTGCTGCTCGTCCTCATCCCTTCCCCAGTATCCAAAGGTATGAGGGATGACAAGAAAAAAGATGGAAAAAAAAAAAAAAAATCACCAAAGTTCAGCAAATAAAGACCCTTCTCTTACTTTCTTCTCTCTCATATTTTGTCTGTCACCCTTATCTCGCCCGTCATGCACCTACATGAACAGCCTGCCAGTTGGCAAGCACCTCCAGAAATCAGTTCACCCTTACTGTCTTCTGAATACCTCAAGAAGTCTACCTTCTGATTCCCAAGTAGAAAAAGGGTACAATCACCAAGTGACTCACAAAAATATATTAACTAATTCAGTGAGCAAGATAAGTCAAAACCAACCAGACACTGAAGAAATTGATATCGTAAAGCACAATATCCTGCCTCATAGTAGAGAGAAAAAGTGGGACAAAACCAATGCTCTGTAATTAAGGAGGCAACTAAGGCAACAAAGGCAGAGGACAAAGCAGATGAGAAAGTGCTCTCTATAGAGGAATGGTTCCACATTAGCCTGGAAAACAGCATCTACAAAATTTCAGCTGGTGCAGAGCAGGCACATAAGATACAATTACATGTTTTATCTTCTAATACAACAACTGGGAAGCATCCTATGAAAGCACTGGGCAATGGATATAAGCAGCAGAAAGGTAACACCTCTGCATAGAACTGTCAGCTAAGTTGTAGAGTTCATTGTCAAGAACATATTGCTAGAGATCAACTGAAATGGGTTCAAGGAACATCAAGGCACAGGCAAAAATCATCATGGGATACACAACACAAAGTCACCTCTCCTAACTTATGAATCAGCACAAGAGGCTGAAGCAGTGGGTAGCAGGGAGAGTATTGTTAGCAATACAGCTGTACGTTCACGCGGCTCTTAGGCTTTTCATCAAGCACATAAGCTGTCTCCTGCTAAAGCCAGGACTAGGTCCCTCTTTTGGACTGATACAGCAGCTTAGTTACCGTCTTCTCCAGCATTCTGTGACATCTGTATGCTTAATTTGTTTCTGAAATATGAAATAAGGCTTTTTGATTGCCTTTGTTTTGTACAGTATTGAGACAGAACTGTCTGTCTGGTCTTTGTTGCAAAACTGTAATGAGAGGCTGTTCTAAATAGCTTACAAAACCACAGATGTTGTAACTAACACAGAATTGAAGAGCTGAATGGACTAACTTCATTCCTAAGTTTGCTGAGTGAATGACAACTCAGATACCGTGCTTTCCTCCCACCCACTTCTCAAGTGATGAGGACACAAAAAGTCCAAACATCCCTCAGGTGATCCCACCTGAACTACTGAAGATTCGACTCCTCAGCTCCAACAGCCCATGCCAGGTGCCCTATAATTACCTTCTGAACAAAATGAGCATCCATAATACTGTATTATATTAATTACTCTCTTCACAGTACGTGACATTATAAGCGACATGATACCAAACACTAACTTTTTTAATCTCATTTCTTCGGTTTCTCTTCTCCTTTTTCATTTTAAGTAGAGGTCAGTGTGTTGTTCAGTATTCTTTTTTTTCTGTATGGTGTCATAATTCATTTTTATCCCTTTATCCTTCCATTTCCATGTTTTACTATCTGTCTTTCCCTATGACCTCTCAAAAGCTTCTACTAATCGCAGACCAGACCGGGTTTTTCAATGCTCTTCTTAACTTTGTTCTCATGAGTGACAAAGGCACAGCGTTTCCCTTGGTGAAATTACTCCATGTAAAGTTTTCTGAGGTAATAACCACAAGGCCAATGGGTTTTAGCGCCAGCTAAAATCACCATCTATGATCAAGCACTTATGTTTTTTCATTAAGCTATCCTATCTAGCCTCATTTTTCCTCTTCTTGTTTTTGAAAAGGAAGAAGATTTGCTCTGTTTCAAACAAACAAATATCTAGATTCCTTGCTGGAAAAGAAGCAAAGGACAAATTCAAGTATTTCTGTACATAAATTCCACCTTGCTCATTTATATCAGTAACTGTTCTAATTACTAAAACACTTCAGTAAAAATGGAAATCAGAAAGAGGCACTTCATCAAATGCCAATGTTAACCATTGCTTATGAACAAATTTTGCAAACCTGACCTCCAAGCAAATTCAGTAAGGGCTATAGATATCCTTTCTTTGCAAATTCAACACTGGAAAAAAAATAGTATTTGGACTTAAAACCCAATTTTCACATCTACTCTTTTATTTTCCCCAAGTTCAGAAAACTTGGAGGAAAGTAAACTACATTTTTCTTTTTCTTTTTTTCTTACATATTTGTGCATTCATTTAAAGTTGTACAAAGCAAATATAGACTGCTCTTCTAAATTTTCTATTTATTTTGCAAGACTACATAACAGACTAAATGAAATGCATAACAACAGATAATCCAGTCAGCATCCAAGGCCGCATTTCTTGTAATCTTGTAATTCTGTATCAATCAGTTGTTATAAACTGCCTAAAGAGCAGATATTGCTGGAATACTGTTGCTATCATGCTGGTACACAACTCTAAGGACTTTTGGAGTACCTACTGGACAAGGCATCCTATTTCCCCACTCAAGCTAGCAACAACAACAGAGAATAGTCCTTCTGCATCACCTTGTTAGCAAGAGCTCAAACAAACATTGTCACAGCCAGAAACAGGTTGACATTTCACTAGGTTATCAGTGCCAAGTTGCTCATGTCTTGAACTGTGTGCAAGTCTGCCTTAAAGCTTATTGCATGCCAAGTAGCAGTTTCCATAGTGCTACTTGGTACTATTCCCAGGACTTTCAGAAGAAGCCCAGAAAGTGTAAGCATAGGCCTTAGCCCAGCATTTCCCAATACTGCTCACACTTCCTGAGGGCAAAGTGAGTTGTAGCACAAGTAAAGGGCACCTAAATTACCCTCCATCCTCTCTCCCATTTCCCACCAAGATGCATCTTCCCTACTCTTGTGGCATGAAAAGCTTTTTGCATAATATCTCAGCCTAAAAACAGCTAAAATTAATCAGAATATAAGGACAGATTAAAAATTTTTTTGCTTTCAAGACAGCCAGGGATCAACTTTCAACTGAATGACAAAACCAAAAAATGTCTACATAGAATCAGCCTGAACTGCAGTACTTCTTGTTGTGCTGTCATTAGCTGCTGCAGAATTGGGAAACTATACATTAGAGAGATCAGATCACAGAGCTATTGACTTACTACTTTTTTTTCTGATAAAACAATCCTATACATTTTGAAGACAAGATTAGCATGCTCATAAACTTCATACAACTAAAAAAATATATATATATATTAATGTACATTCCAAAGAGAAAGTCTTCCTACAGAAAGCAGGTCCACAATGGGTCAAATTTCCTTTGAAACTGGGAAAAGCATAGAGAAAGGAGGGAGGTAGGGAGCAAAAAATAAAAATAAAAAATAACAACAACAACAACTCCACAACAAATATTTAAATATCTGTCAACTGCAGCAGTAAAGCTGACAAAAGAACTCGAGGCTCTTACAAGCCTCTTACTCAGGTATCAGTAAGAGTTTCATCACCATACCACTGGCTGATAAAATATCACACATAAAAGCAATATTACATAGTGCCATGGTAGTTGGTCATATCCCACTGATATCAATATTTGAAAACAACTGGTAACATCTACAGGTTGCAGCCATTTCCACTACATTAAATGATGCTTAAACAGCTGAAGACAGTCCCTGCCAAAAACTTCTTAATCACTACTAAAAAAAAAAGAAACAGAGGAATTCTAATAAGACAGAAACTATAGAGAATTGGCAGGGCAGGAGAGATGCAGTATTAATTATATCACATTGCCACATGACGTGTTTAATACGATGAACTGACAGCACCTGCTTTTGGCCATTAGTGAGCATAAAAAGATCAGATCTGAAAAACAACATGAAATCCTGGCTTATTAAAACCCAAAAGAAACTTTCACAATTATCAGCAGAATCAGGACCTTAGCCATGACTTGCTCACTTCTGGAGAAGTGCACTTCCAGAGGGTAGCTCTGCATTTCTTGCAGAGCAGAAGTTGTGACTGCTGGATCACACAGAATTATAAATGGGATTGAAACAAGTGCAGTCTGTACTCTTACCTAGAACAGTACTAATTCCTGTAATGTAACTGAAACAACCAAACCAAATCCATTAAACTTACGTACTTGTCAAATACTTTTTTTTTTTTTTGCCATTTACAACTTCTCATAATCAATTAAATTTTAATTATATTTGATTTCCCCAAAATATAGCATGAAGTATTGTAACCAGCTTGAACTATTAGCAAAATATCGTGGAATCTCTACTTTAGCATGAGAAAACCTCAACCTGATACTGCACTATAACCCAACACTTAACTGAATGTCATTAAAGCTATCATTCAAAGGAACCATCACATAAGTCAAAAGTGGGGAACAAATCCCACCAAAAGACAATCAAAGAAACAAACCACACCTGTCCCCCCAAAAACCCAACACCCTATATCCAAAAGTCTCAGAATTAATGGAAACATCCCTGGTGGCTTTAATGGCATCTAATTCAAATGAACAGGTATTTTCAAAATTAAAAATGTCCTGTAGAAAACACATACCTTTTAATGTAATTCTCAACTTACCTCCAATGTTTTTATTACAATTTTCACATAGACATGAGAAATCCCCAGTGACACTCTAAACATCGAAGGCAACAGAACTAGCACTACAAACGAAGTCAGCCAGATTAACAAAGTTTTGCCCTCCACAAGGCTGTAGCCCTGTCTATTTTCTTCCATGCTTGCTCCTTTAAAACATCAACCTGATAACTTTCTTAGAATATTTGCTCATCTGCTGAGAATCAGGCAAGCTTCAAGAGACAAACAAAAATTACACATCCTAAAAGCCAAAGCTATTCCTAGGAGAGAGCTGCTGCACTCTAAACGTGCCACCAAAGATGCTCTCAATGATAGCAAAATTTTTACCCCTTCTCCCGCCCTAGCTCCACCCACTTCCATATAATTGATAAGCAATTACTCACCAGATATAACACAGGGTAGAAGAATATGTGTCTGGTAATAAGGTGCTGTCAAATGAGGACTTGTCAATATGTCAAATAGTTTACCCAAGGTGTCCTGCCAATAAATTATAATACAAAATCAAGTAGGTGTGGTTTTCAAATAATCTAAAATGTTCTTTTCTAAAAAAAACAAAAACACAATGCAGAGAAAGAACTTCTCCAAATGAAGTCTAGTCAAATTACCATCTTCCTTGGTCAGACTTTCTACCTCACATTGAAATGACTGCCTCGTTTCAGTATTTCACCACAAGAACCAAACTGAAGCTTTAGGTTTAAGTCAGCTACTTGTTGTTTGTTTGTTTTAATACCTCTGAGATGTAGATGCAAATTGCAGCAGGCAAGAATCAACATCAGAAGCAAATAAAACCTGCTCCCTCTTGTTCTACAAGAAATTAGCCAAATTGTATCACAGGGTTACAAAATGCACTGTGGTGACGAAACAAGTCACACATCTTTGCAGTGGTGAGGTACTGGAACAGGCTGCCCAGAGAGGCTGTGGATCTTCCATCCCTGGAGGTGTTCAATGCCAGATTGGATGAGGCCCTGGGCAGCCTGGTCTAGTATTAAATGGGGAGGTTGGTGGCCCTGCATGTGGCGGGGGGTTGGTGATACATGATCCTTGAGGTACCTTCCAACCCTGGCCATTCTGCGATTCTATGAATCCAAACACATTAGATAGGGAGGTTTCACCTTCTATCCTATGAAACAGCAATAATTAGTATAGTATTTTAGGAAAGATTCAGTACAGCCCCTAATTCCAGCCCCTAGCCTGTCCTTCTATATGCATCAGAGGAAGAACAGAAGTAACTGTATTCGTAGAAGTTATGGAGAGCCCACTGACACCACTTAAAACCTTACCACAGAATAAATCAATTGACATTGGTGGAATGACTGCTCTGGGACTTCCAAAGCAGTTACATGTGGATCCATGAAGGATCTTTCCTTTGCAGGTGGTCACATTTACAAGCTTGCATAACTGCAGGGGCTGTACATTTGAAACTTCCCATCCCCACAAACCATGGTCTGGTTTGCGTGGTGGAGCAGCCTCACTCCACACACACCGGATTCTTCAGGAATTAAAGCAGAAGCGCTCTAGAAAACGTGACCCATATGCTCCAGTCATGAATAGAAATACAAGAATCAGAGTGCGCTGCCCAACACTAAGTCCTCCAGTTCGTGCCATACACCCAGGGACCAACAAACAGGCTTCTTGTTACAAGCTCACAATACCATCACATCCTTCACGTGCCATATGAGTCAAGTAATCTCTTGTGTCCTCAGATTTGCTGCTGGATATCAGACTTCAGGTCCTCATAACACCACTGCACCTTCTTCCATAATCTAATTTTTATCGTCTTCCCCTCATTATGTATCTGCCTCTGATAATCTATTTCTGAGTATATTACATCTTCTGGAAAAAAAACAGTTATATTTTTATGGTTTCTGCTTTCCCATCACCCTTTTTCTCAGTGGCAACTACAAGCCCCTGACTCTACCATGCAACCAGTCCTGTGCCGTGCACCATTACCCACCATTCCCAACCCATCTCACCAAGTTACAGGTTCTTCTAGGCTTCTCTAGAAACAGTATTTATTTATTAGAAAAACAGTTCTGTTTGCTCATCCCTCTTTAGCTGCCACCCCCTACATTCTCATTTCTGGCCTCTTCCTATAGCTGCCTGCCCTGCTAGCATATGGCTGCACAAGGCAGGGGGTTGTAGATGATAAGATGCTGATCCTGAGGCACAATGCAGCACATCTGAGAGCTGCCTTCAGCTTCAGCTCAGGTGACTGGCATGCATGCCAGCTGGGTGCTAAAACCTGTGGGCGGGAGGGTGGAGGTAGTTTCTGGGACCTGACTTGAGTCAGGAAAGGTGGGCCAAATTAAATATCAATAGCCCGTCAGGACATAACAGTGAGGTGTAGCAACAGCCTTAATTGGCAATAAGCCTAGGTATAGGTAAGAGGGATCCTTTCTTAAAAGGAGACAGATTTCCTTACCCTGCACAGAGGAAGTAGAATTTTCCTCTCCTGAGTAAGGGAGATTTGTTTTCCATCCTGTGAGAAATTATCATCTGCACTTCCTCCCTAACCTTTATCAAGTCATATTCCCACAAATCAGAATAATAATGCGAACAGACAGCGTAGTTCTTCCCTTTCACCTTCTAAAAAGACAGAGCACCCAAACCCCTCCCCAGGCTCGCCCATCCACACTGCTGAGTGACAGGACTTCAGCCCTCTGTTAGCTGTAATTTTCCTGGCAAACCATTCAGCCCAAAACCTCTGAGGCTTCCTCGGGGCTGCCATGACAGCTTCTACAGGTAATCCCCAAAAAAGCAGAACATGTAGCAAAGTTATGCCTGCTAAGAAGTACTACTGAGTAGAGAGGGGGAACAAAAAAAGTACAGGGAGGTGGAGGGAGCTGGGATGTTGACAGTCTATTGCTCTTCATCCAGCATGTCACATTTGCTGTAGCAACAGAAAATTCCAACTTTTTGTCCAACTGCACAGGTAAACATATCCTTTTTGTGGCCATAGAACAAATAACTCCATTGTGACTTAACAGTCTGAGAGGTTACTTATGACAGAAAGCAATTTTTGTGAACCTTCTTCTTGCTAGTATCAGCTTATTCTGACATGACTCACATGCTTATTAGCTGCTTTTAATCCAGACAGATGACTTTTGGCCGCCCAATAAAGCTGGGACACATTTGTGTTGTGTGAGAAATGGTTATTCTGCCGTAACAGTGTCAACTGCCCACTCTTGGCTCTCAGTTCTTGAGGTCATTCTACTCATTTGTTACTATTAGGTAATGCTTTTTAGTTGTCTTAGGGAACTGGAACTATGACCCATTCATTTTTCCATGGTGTGGAGAAGCAAACATAGCACTATTACCAGTTTTAACAATAACAGTAATATTAAAATAATAATAATGAAGAAAGGCCCTCTTGGTTTTTGATTAAACTTTACTGATGTTTCAACCTCACATTGTGCAGACTTCTCACCTGGTTGCTAAACAGGAGTGAAATAATCTCTGGTACCTTGGGTCTGCTTTTTATAAACACTGAGGTTTGTACTTCACTTGTGAGAGAGCTCCATGTCACCAGAATTACTTTAAAGATCACCCCTTCTATAGTGAGCAATTTCAGTCTGAATATTCATATATGGAAATCACACTGTTCTCATGCAACGAAATGCAAATATCCACACCTCTGCATCCATACTCTAACTGACCTATCTCTGCTGTTCTTTAGGTCAGCAGAGATCTCATCTGTGTCACAAAATAGGTCTGTGTCTGCATCTGACCACAGAGGAGTTGTGCTACTTATAGGTTATCTCTGCCTGTCAGCAGTTGAATTATGACATTGAAGAAGTATGTTTAAGCAGTGTATTACTCATTAGGATGATTGTAACATGTTTAGCTCTGACCACACTAGCATTATGGTTTCCTCAGAAGATAAATTCAGTCATTACAAAACCTTAATCACCATATCAGGATACATCTTTATATCACAAAATCTGGGAGTCCACTAGAGATCTGCCTACATTTGTTTAACTCAACAGTGTACAGATCAGACGATTAGGCATCGCATGGCTTTCAATAATGCACATTTGTCAATACATATCTTGTATATGATTTGCATACCATTAATCAAAGAATCATGGAATCATTAAGGCTGGGAAAGACCTCTCAGGTCACCTAGTCCAAACACACACCCAACCGCCCCACCATGCCCAGTAACCATGACCCCCAGTGCCACATCTCCATAGATGTTGAACACCTCCAGGGAATGCTGACTCCACCACCTCCCTGGGCAGCCTGTGCCAATGCTTCACTGCTCTTTCCAAATATTTTCTCCTGGTGCAACTTAAAACAATTACCCCTCATTCTATCACTGTTACCTGGGAAAAGAGGCCAAATCCCACCTCATTACAACCATCTTTCAGGGAGTTACAGAGAGCAATGAGGTCTCCCTGGAGCCTCCTCTCCTCCAAACTGAACAATCCTAGCTCCCTCATCCGCTCCTTGTAGGACTTGTGCTCCAGATCCTGCCTTTCTTTGGATGCAATGAATACTGAAGAATAATTTGTCAATGCCCAGCATTTCTCACACTGATTAAATGCATAAAGTACCCCCACTGCTCTGGTATAGAAGTGGCTGCAATCACAGTACAGGGAATTTGGGGGCAATTTCTGAAAGATGCCAGAATTCATGTTCATTTTCACCATTTTCTCCACAAACAGCTATGTAAGCTCCTTATACTCTTGCTGCCTTTTACCAAGGCAACATAATCCATGTCACTGTTTGCTCCAATACATCTCTTCAGCTGCATAGTATTTATTACACATTCATCTAATGCCCTGTAGCCAGGATTGCAAGAAATGCCTGATAGCTATTTCCCATTTGTCTTTGCAGTCATTTTGCATCACCTGAAGAATTTGTCATCCCCTGTTCATTTATAAGCTTGTTGAGGTAGGGAAAAAAAAAAAAAAAAAAACCAAAAAACCACTTAGCCAGTTCTTCTCTTCACTGGGAGAATAGGTAAGAAGTACAACAATTCTCCTCTTCTGAGTATTAGTACCATTTGCATGCATTTAAATATACTTAACTTTATTTAAAAATAAGTATTACAGAAATAGCCATTCTTCTAAGTTTTGCTGACAGGTTTAAAAGGAAAAGAAAATGCACTGAAAACATTCATTTCTAATAAAAGATAAGAATATATAAAAATACACGTGACACCCCCAAGTCAATGGAAACACCCCTTGAGAGACTACAGGTGCATAAATATTATGCAAAAACTCATTTTTTACTTATACAAAAAGCAAATAATAAGCTTACATGTAGTCCTGATGAAAGACAAAATTAAGCATTTCCTTTCCTGAAATGAAGAAACCCCAGTGGCCTTTAAAACAGATTCCTACCTCATTTCTAAGAACACTGTAACTTCCACCTCTCCCTTCTTCAGGAGGTTTTTACAGCTGCATTCTGATCAGGAACATCTGCTGAGAATGTGGTGGAAAAGATAACATTACTGCAAATATTAAAGGGAATATGACTATTAAAACAAGTCAAAACAGAAACTGCAGAGACTCCATTCATACCATGAGGAATGGTGCAATGTGCTTGTGTCATATAGCTGCTCTGTTATTCACTGTCTCCTTCCCAGAATTTCTGAGGTTACTAGCTCAGAAGATTCCCACCATGTCTCCAGACACATTCACAGCAGCATACCCTGTTTCCCTTCTGCAGATGCCAGCTCTGCCAGCTCTGTGCCAGGACACATTTTGAGGTGGATTGACACAAGCTTCCTACTCTTCAGTCAGAAATACAGTCTGCTCCACCCAAACTCCCAGCAGGGTGACCCAAGCAGTTCTGTTTCACTGCTGTTTTGATGCTTTAACTTAAAGTCCAGTCCAGCCAGGACATCTCGGTTTGCTCCCAGGACCCACCTGCTAAACTGCCGTGCTCAATAATCGTATTGTTTCTCCTTTAAGGGAGGTATTCACACTTGGGAATTACTTGATTTCATAGAACCGTAGAATCATTTGAGTTGGAAGGGACCCTTAAAGGCCATCTAGTCCAACTCCCCTGCAAGGAACAGGCGTCCCTCATCCAGGCGAAGGGACGGGCTGTAGAAACGCGCCAAGGTCGGCACGGATCTCACAGAGGCTCACGCCGACGGACCACAGGCCGCAGGTAAAGCAAGGCACGGCACAGGACGGACGGGTCGCGCCGAGCCCTGCCCTGCCGCCGGCGACCGCTGGGGGCTCCCGCCGCCGCGGCGCGGCCCGCCATTGTCGGGGGCATGGAGGGCGAGAGCACGTCAGCTCTGCTCTCGGGCTTCGTCTTCGGCGCCCTCGCCTTCCAGCACCTCAGCACTGACTCGGACACGGTGCGTGCCGCGGGCGGGACGAGGGCGGGCGGCGTGAAGCGGCCGGGCGGGGCGGGGCGGCCGCTATGCACGCACGCGGGCAGCGCTCGGCTGCCATGTCGCAGCCCGCAGCCGCCGGCCTGCCCGCGCCCGGGGCTGCCGCTGCCGCGACGGGCAGAGCGGCGGGCGGCGCGTCCCTGCCGGCTGGGAGCCCCGCTGACGGCGATGCGCGAACTGCTGACGGCCGTGCCCCAACGCGGGGCCGTTCGGCAGGGTTCCCGCAGCTATTTCGGCTGCTTTCGCCACTAAGGACGCCGGAAAGTTGCTGTTTATTTCCTATCTAAAGCTAGGAGGAAGCGGCAAGAGGCGGTGCGGTGCCGCGGCAGCCATAGCGCTTCTGCCGGGGGCCGAGAGAAGTTGCGGGCGCGGAAGAGGCAGCACACGGACAGCCGCACGCGGCGCCCTTTCTCATAAACGCCTGAGAACGCAGCCCAACTTTCTGCTCCAAGTGTTTGCATACATTTAAAAATGAAAGAGAACCCGCTCTGTTGATCTGTGCACTTTTCACCCCCCAAGGTGTTTACTTACAGTTAAGACCGAACTCCTGTTAGATGTCAGTTAACGTGACCTTTTGTTCTCTCCCGAAAAAGGAAGGCTTTCTCCTTGGAGATGTGAAAGGTGAGGCCAAGAACAGCATCACCGACTCACAGATGGACGATGTGGAAGTGGTTTATACAATCGGTCAGTGCATCCTCATTTCTCATAGCAAGCTTGCTGCCAGGACAGCTGTGACTGCACACAACTGCTAGGTCCTGGGCTGCCCATTCACATCCAGCTGGGCACATGCAGCTTATTTTACAACATTTAATTGCTAAAAAATTGGTAATCTTAATCTGAAAAGGATAAATTTTAACAAACACAAGTTCCTAGCTCCTTGAGCACTGCTACTTTGCCTGAAGTGCAGTTGCCTGGCAGAAAGTGAACTTTAGTGCCTACAGTCATGTGAACTTCAATGCATTCATACTTAATACAGAACTTGAAACTTATAAAATACTGTGGATGTTGCAAATCATGTACTTCACTGAGCAGATGGCAGCATTTTTCTGTAAAATCTACACTGCAGTGGGAGCAGATACATATATTCTAGTAGCCCTAAGGAAGAATATATGCATACATAAATTTAACTTCATTCCTTCAGAACACAGTCAATACAAAAAAAAAAAACAAAAAAACAAACATGCCTTCTTTCCAACCTTACTGACAACAGAGAAGTCACATCTCATTTTTCATTTTTACCTCGGTTTAACTTTCCTCCACTGAATCTCACTACTGAACCTGAAGTCTGAGGAAATTGTGGTGCCATTGATCACACTACCCAAATTCTTGGCCATCATTAGTTGCTCTAAACTTTGTGGGGTTCTTTTTGGTTGCTTTGATCACTTTATTTGCTTCATTTCAGAAAACTTGTAACAACAAAAGTTGTGGAGACAATGGGTAAAGAAGAGGATTCTGAATGCTATCCCTTATCCTCTTTTCAGTGGTAGAAAGTTACCCCATGCTTCTCACACAGCCTGTTCTCCAGCTTTATTTCCCTGCCTAGCAAAGCAGATGCTGCTGCAACATAACTAAAGTTACCATTCTGTGATACTGTATTGTTTTCTAATTCTGTACTCAAGGGAGGGAAAAACTAAGTGACAAATTTGATTTTCCACTTGACAAAAATGTATCAAAAATACATAACTTATAGAAGTAGTTCCTCTTTACACTTGGAAAGAAATCTGGGTTAGACTTTCTTAAAGATTTCCTTCAAGTAGACAGTAGTTTAATACAAAGCTGTAGCATTAAAGTTCTTCCTCTTCCTTATAACAATTGCCATGACAACACACAGAAAAATGTACATCTTGAGCTGACAGACCAAGTAACATTGCTTTCTCATTTCAGATATACAAAAGCATATTCCATGCTACCAGCTGTTCAGGTAAGAAAATTTTAAGATGCAGAAAAAGTTAATATTTAACATTTGTTGAGTCAAAATTAGGTTTAACTTGTAATATATGTCTGAGAAAATCACCAGGATACAATAGATATGATGTCATCTCTGTAGAATTACAGATACTAAAAGTCTTGTTATTCCTATATTAATTCTATGCATATTGCTTGTGCTTGCATCTCTTTATGTAGAGATGTGGTACACCACACCCTAGTGAGCTGTGGAACTAAACTACAAGCATGATGTCAGTCTGCTGTAAAAAACAACACCATTGCTTTTCTAAAATAGCATATCTTGACCCTTCACCCAATCAGAAAATAGAAACACAGGGTCCTGAGTGGGGCAGAAAAAACACCTGATAGTTGTCAATCAGGAGTCATTTCACAGACTGATTTATCAAGTTCTGTTGTAAATAGGAACACAGCCATGCAGATTTACATTCTGATGACAGGAAAATCACAGCATGATTTCCCTCTGCAATCTTTCTGCAAATTAATAAATACAAACATTGCCAGAGAGGCACTTTACAACAAAAGTCCTAATTGTCATAATTTTCTTCTAGCTTTTATAATTCTGCAGGAGAACTGAATGAACCAGCCCTGAGGAAAATACTGTCAGGCTGTAAGAAGGTATTTTCAAATCTAATACGTGCCAAAGGACTATCCCAGCTTTTGGGGGTTGTTCTGTTTGATTCTATTTTTTTTTTTTTTTTTGGTCTCCATCTACTCCAATATACTGCTTGTCAAGACAGCTCCCTTAAAGAATAGTATTAATTTAGGTCATCTTTGACTAAGGTTTGCCACAACAGTGGAATAGGCTCCCCAGGGAGGTGGTTGAGTCACCGTCTCTGAAGGTGTTTAAAAACTGTTTGGGTATGGTACTCAGGGACATGATTTAGCAGAGGGTTGTTAAAATTAGGGTAGTATGGCTAGTTTGTGGTTGAACTTGATGATCTTTAAGATCTTTTCCAACATGAGCAATTCCATGAATCTATTGATTCTAACTTCATTCTTTTGTTTTTCCTAAGTGAACTTTTTCAACATCCAAAATCAATTATGCTGACTCCTAGATTGAGACCAATTTAGGTCAATTTTCAGTTCACTCCCTTAGTTAAGCAGAAGCAAGTTCACCTACTGTCTTCTCTGCAGAAGAGCATTTTTCAAGGGGAAACTATAAACTGAAGAGCAGCAAGTGGCTAAGTAGCTAAATTACCTTTGCAAACTTCCAGGTTGAGTATAGCCTCAGAAAACTGTTGCAGTGGATTCCAGAACAAGAGATGTTGTCATAGTAGAACATAGTCTTAGGCATTCCAGGCATTTACAGTTAAGTATTTGCTTAAATACATACACAGAACCATTTAGATCAATGCCTTTGTACTGAACTTCCCACTTTGCTCCATTATGGAATATACTGACATTGTAATTTAAGGGCAGTACTGATAAACTTTGTTCTGTTTGCAGAGTGTAATAGGATGGTACAAATTCAGACGCAATACAGACCAGGTCATGACATTCCGGGAAAGACTTCTACATAAGAACTTGCAGTCACACCTATCAAACCAAGGCCTTGTATTCCTTCTCTTAACTTCTAGTGTGATGACAGAAAGCTGTTCAACTTATAGGCTAGAACATGCCTTACACCGGCCACAAGAAGGGTAATCAGTTTGTTTTCTAGTTTTAACAAAGCTGTTAAATAACCTGATTTGACTCGCTTTTTATTTTTATGGGTGTAATTGAGTTACTATTAGGACTCATTTTAATTACAGCTTTTAGTAGGCTTCATGAAGCTACTGAGACAAGCTGCTAAGTGGCTGGGTTTAACAAGGAAATAACTGCATTAGAGCATGCCTGACATACAAAAGAAGTTTTAAACCATATACAGAACTATTGCTCAAAGTCTAGTCACCTGTGTGTGATATCCAGCAAGAATTATACTGTGCACCTCTGGTTGTGGTGCCCAGTGAGAGGGGACATTGAAATACTGAAGCTTAAATGTTAATGCGGCACTTTCTCACACTTATGCTCTTCAAGTCTCTTTCAGAAAGTTCCTCTAGTCGTTACCAACTTGGGTATGGCAGAACAGCAAGGTTACAGAACAGTTTCTGGTTCCTGCGCATCTTCTCGCTTTGTGAGAGCAGTAAGACAACACAGGTACAATATAAACCTTACATACTGGTACACAAAGCTTTCCAGTAAGGTTAGCATAGCTGCTTTCTTCAAATTAAGACTTTTTTTTAAGTACTCAAAGTAGTGGTACAGCTACACTCTGCTCACTTCTTGACTTGCTCCTATAGTTTTTCTGCCCTTCACAAAGCACTTCAGAATTAGTTCACCCATGTATTGGCAGTGAGAACAGTCAAAATAGGCACCTAGCACTGCACCAGCCTACATAAGGTAATCACAGCTGGAAACAAAACTTAAGTCTTGGTGACAAGAGATACACAATACTATTGCTAGAATTAAAAAATAGTCCAGAACATTAGCCTAACAAGAGCAATTCATACTAGATTTCTTACTTCAAACTAAAGGTCCAGGTCATTTTTCCCCCCTTACAATTTTATGCATCAGCCAGTAGTCAGTACCATCTTCAGTAAAAGGGTCTCTTGAAGTTACATAAAATAAGCTTTAGAAGATCTGACTTAAGAATAGCTAATCCTAAAACAAAGCCTAAAACAAAGCAGTGAAAACTTAGAATGCTTCTTTATTTAATGAAGTTCCTTTCAAATGAGCATCACTATCCACCGGAATCAGTTTTCAGTTATACCATTTAATTTTTCCCACAGGTCAGAATTCTTTTATGAAGATGGATCCTTACAAGAGGTTCACAAGATAAATGAGATGTATGCCACCTTGCAGGAGGAGCTGAAGGTCAGTTGAGTATACCCACAGCATAGATATTTTCAGCAGTACCAAACAGTCAAGCAAAGCATTTAGAATCCTGCAGCAAGTTGGAGGTACAGTGCAACATCAGAAAGTTCTTTGCTCTACATAACAGTTGCAAATACAAGTTTATCTTTAAACTTTAAAGATCAATCCAAGCATACTGAGAAATTCTTTAAAGAGGATTATTTCTGGAAATTATCATCTCTAGCTCTTTTGGGCAGGTGAGGACAAGTAAAAGACATTGAACCTCACTCAATACAAGGCTGAAGTTCTCATCTCCAAAAACCAACCTCATTACTTCAGCTTTCTAATATTATTACCAATATCAGAAAGTCAGTACCTTTACAGGTTTTGCTAAAACTAAATTCTACTTCTGTTAATGCAGCTGATCTCAAGTGATATTTTTCTTTCCAGAAAATATGCTCTGATGTAGAAGTCAGTGAACGATCTGTAGAGAAACTCCTAACAGAGGTGAGCCACTTAAAAGAAGAAATCAATAGAAAAAAGCAACACAAGATCTCTTCAGGTAAGTTATGTCCCATGGTAGCACTGGTAAGACAGCAAAGTTATTTCACTGTTGGAAAAAGAACACTTGTGAACTTGAGGAACCCAGAGCAGTATTGGTGGAAGTACACAAGAGGGTCTGTAACCATTGTTTTTCAGGAGGGAACAAAGATCACCTAGAAGAACCAAAGGAGAATGTTTTGCTTTGTCAGGCACTGAAAACATTTTTCCCCAATTCTGGACTTCAGACATGTATTGTTTCCTTCGAAGGAAGGATCTCTAAGAACTGTTGTAAGATTGACCATAACATTAACATCATGGACAAATTGACTCTCATGGTAGAGGAAGGGGACTTCACTGAAGCTGAAACAAAACCAGTAACCAAGCGTAAAGTCAAAGACACCACAACAGGACCAAAATCATTTAAGAAATTAAGATCACTGCAACTTGACCAAGAATTACACCAAGATGAAGACAACAGCAACCAAGAAACAAAGCTTGCACTGAGTAGCACTGAAACAGACGAGGAAGCATTGGAAAATCCCAAAGATACAAATGAATATTCATACTCTCCCACTTTCTGATCACTTAATGATTTGCCCAGATGTATTTGTGCAAAAAGCAATTGCCAGCATATTAAAGTGACATAAATTACTGCACTAGTGGGATGGAAACAGCTTACTGAGTTTTTGTAAAGTACAAAGATGTATTTTTAAATACTCCAATCCTGTTTGGCCCAAGTCAAGCAGAGTCTAAATGACATTCCTTAATTTTGCCTTGCAGAGTCAAGTCTGTATACTCTATCTCAGGGTTTTAAAACTATGCTAGCACTATGCTAGCATTCCAATAATCTCACTTGATGCCTCAGTGATAGAGCTTCAAGCTCCTACTGAAGATTTCAGGACCACTCCAACAATGAGCATCTCCTCAGCAGGTGATGTGCAGAACATCAAATCAGATGTATCTTAGGAATAGCTGTCTATATATAACAAAGTTCTTAATATTTTTACTTATCCTTAGCTATCTCATACTTAATTGTCTCTTTCTGAAAAGGAAGGGAAAAAGTGATCTTCAGCAAGACCTCTGGATAAGTTTAGTGGTCTGTACGTCTAGGGGGAAGAACATTAACAACAAATCAGTTCACTCCTTACATTCCCCAAGGGTGAACAGTCTAGAATGATAATCCTCTCAACTCAGTATCTATCCTAAGGGGTGCACTGGTATTCTCAGAGAATACCACATGTTGGTCTATAGGGTGGCAGCAAGTTGGTCAATGACATCTCATCGACCTGCACACCTGCAATTTGGCAGAGAGGGTACCCATTCTACCTCAGAGCTTTTTTGGTTTTTAGCCTCTTCACAGCAGAATTTTGGCTGCCAGGGCAGCAGCTGGTTGTCAGGGGACACTTGTGTGGTTTAGAGCTACCTTCAGTTGTCAGGGGTACTTAAGTTTTGTTCATCAGGGGCAACAGCTCATCCATAGCACGCCCCCCTCCCATTGGTAATCAGCAGTTGAACACACAGCTGTCACACAGTGGACTGCTAGGTATGCACACTGACTGCATGGTGGTCCTCAGAGAGGATCCCCACAAATCAGATTGAATGCTCAGGAAGAGCAACAGCTGAAAAAGATTTCTCTTGATCACCCACCAGTATTTCTCTTATCACTGTGATCATGGTAACCATGAAAGCTTACTCAACAGGTTACATCTCAGATAAATGCCACTGAACAAGCTTTGAGCCAAAAAACCATTCCAGCTAATCATACCAGTAGAGAATATTAAGCGTGATTTTGTTTTATTTTTATTTCTTTACAGTATGTTATTCTCAATACTTAACATTACAAATCTTGGGGTCTGTAAGAAATGATGGGTTCTTATACATAACTGGCATAAATCCTGTAAGAAAATAAAATGGAGGGTCTTTTTAAATAAAGGATGAGTGTGACTTACCAAATACTATGAAGTATAACAATACTTACCAAGTATATGAGCTCTTTTTATGGCTTTTGAAATTTCTTTCTGCTTCTTATCACACAAGCCTAAACAAATAAGTTATTTTTAGCTTCCTGGTTTCAACCGTAATTCACTGATCAGTTTAAGGAGGAAGTCTTATTAATGACAAATTGTTCTGGCTTTGTCAAAGCCTTCTTACAAAAAGGTATGTACACTTACATACCTTTTTATGGTTAAGATTAAAAAGTGATTTCTTAAAGGATATTCTCATTTCTTGATGAAGGCTACTAGTTAACATGAACATTTCAGGATGTGCACAACCAGTAATATCCAGTTCTGTAAACATATCTGTTTAAAGTGAACTAGACTGTAGAATACATCAACATTAAACAGCAAGTAGCATTCCACATACCTGTTATATGCCTGCCATAAATGCGGCCAGAGTATGGAGAAACAAACTGGGACAGAAGCTATTAGAAAGCAAAGACAAGAGTGTAAGGGTTGCTTTGTAAAAGAAGCTTTAACTTCTTCATATTCAGACTTGTTTCTTACAGAACTTCCCACATGCCCTATTATTTAAGCCACACTACAGTAGAACTAGAACTGAACATTTTATTTAATAGGCCTACAGATTTGAAGTAACTAGTTACATTACTAGATTTATCAGTAAACACTGATACTACTTCAGTTTTTAAGATCCTCTAAACATTGGTATTAATCATTAACTTCAGACTTCTGTTCCCAAGCCGTTACATGCTTTATATAAACTTACATTTTCAAGGCACTCACCTGCACATTCTTGTAGTCCACATTTATTCCACATAAGATACATTTTTTAGGAGGCTCTTTATACGGATTCTCCATTTCTATAGGCTGTAATTAGACAACAGCTAAAATGTTTTGCAAGTTCACAAGAAAATAGTCAGCTTGCACTTGATTTCACATAGATCTAAAGGAAGAAGAATGCCTTCAAACCAAAAGGAGCCCCTCCCTTACAAAGGCAGGTTAAGGAAGTTAGGCTTCTTTAGCATGGAGAAGGTTCTAGGGAGACTCACTACAGCCTTCCAGCACTTGATAGTTGCATACAAACAAGGAGACTGACTTTTTATATGAGCTGATAGAAGTAGGACAAGTAAAGTGACATAAAACTAAAGCAGGGGAGATTTAGATTAGCTATAATACAGAAGTTCTTTACTCAAGAGAGCAGTAGGGCCCTGGCACAGGGCCATGGATGTCTTATCTCTGGAGGTAGTCAGGACCAGATCAGATGGGATCCTAGGTAGCCTAAGCTGGTGGGGAGTAACCCTGCCCATGGCAAAGGGTTGGGTAGGCTGTTAGGCCCCTTCCAATTGAAACTATCCTGCAGTTCAGAAAAAAAAAACAACAGCATTTCTTTAAGGTGTGAGCTATTGAAACAGCATGGAAGAGCTACATTCATGGTAGTAGGCTATACCTTATATAGGCACTCATTAACACTTAGTAGCTGATTTCAGTAACAGTGAGAAGCGATAAACACAGTAACCAATACAGCAACGTAGCTCTCAATCACGAGAGCAGCAGGCACAGCACAGGATGCTATCTTCGTTTTCATTTTTGTTGTTTGACCAGCTCACCCACTGACAATGGATTCCATGTACAGCTGCCAGGAAGCGGCCATGGCACACCTGGCAGTGAGGTGAGGAACCCTTACCAAGTCAGACCCGACCGCCGCTTGCTGGTGCTGAAGACGACAAGGCCTCTCCCGCATCAAGGCTGCACAGCAAAGAGACAACACCATCAGCGGCAGCTCGATAGGGCAGCCTAAAGACACCGCAGAGACGCATGGCAAAGGGCAAAGAGCAACGCGCAGCCCGCTCACCAGGCACCCATCCGCAGCACAGCCTGCCGCCCCGCACAGCCAGCGCCGCCATCTTCACCTCTCCCACCTCCCTCTGCGCGCAACTTCCTCCGCGCCACTCCGCCAAGCGGAAATACCATCCGCTGGCCAATGGGGCTGCGGCCTGCACTGGTGGAGGCAGGCGATTGGCTGCGCGTCTTACATGTGATACAGTTTGTTTTGTTCTTGTGCCGGAAGCGGCGGTTGGGGCTGGGTGCCTCGTGGCGTTGCCGGCCGTCATGTACGCAGCCCCGGTGCTGCTTTGACGTGTCCCGACTCCCTCCTCATGGCCGAGCCCGCTCTCGCCGTGCGGAGGAGGAGCCGCATCAGCTCCGCTCGCAAACGGAGCCACCCCCCTGCACGGCCCGGGGCCGCCTCCTCGCCGCTGGCTCGCAAGAGACACAGTGCTGGGGGTGAGGGGTCCCCGGCCGAGCCCCCGGTACGGAGGTGGTGGCTGGGACGGGGGAGGCGGGCCGGAGTGAGGCTGTGGTGGCGGGAAGCACTTGAGCAGGGGGTGTGTTCGGGATCAGAAACCTCAGAAAAAGCTGCTCGTTGACTGCCGCATTTCACTCATTTGCGAGTATACATTCCATTAAAAGTTGAACTGACAAAGTGAAAAGGCAGATTAATTGCTTGATAAATTGCAGAGCAGTTAAATGAATTACACTTTATGCTTCAGTTACCGAGGTTTTTCCAGCTTGTTACTTTGCAGTGTTAATTCCCTTACTGTTCTATTTTCACAGTGTAACAATGATAGTGAAGAAGATATGTTTGGCGACTATGACAGCTTCCATGAAAGTGATTCTTTATTGGCTCAAGTTCTTGATGCAGAGCACCAGCACCCCCAGGAAAAAGGTGTGGACATGAAAGCAGCCAGGGAGTTTGCACATGGGAATCTTCAGTCAGAAATGAACCAAAGCAAGCAATGTAATTTGCATGCTACAGAAGATAGTAGTATGCATCAAGTGGATGAACGTTACGGCTTCCAAATGAATGAAAATGATGCTGGAAACACCAATGAAGACCTCAGTGATTCTGTTTTCGATGAATTGCCTTCATCACAACTTTTGTATTTGGAGAAAATGGGTGAGCTTTCTTCTCGTTCCCAAAAATCTGCAGGCACAGAGAAGATGGATGAGTGGAAGAATTCCTCCTTGGACAAAATCCGGAGTCCATCATCTCCATGTCCTGACTTTGGACACAAGAACAGAAGCACAAAATCTTCCACAGGCTCTAGGTCTGATTCATGTAAAAGCGTGAGTCTTAAAGATCATCTGAAAAATGCTATGACTGGAAATGCCAAAGCCCAGACTCCAGTGGTCTTGAAGACCAAGCAGCTTAAAGAAGCTATTTTATCTGAAGAGATTTCTGTTGCTAGGGAAACTATTGAATCATCGTCTTTTGATATAGGCCCGTTTTATGGATTACCCAGTAAAGTTAAACATCTCCTCAGGCAATTTCGGGGCATTGAAACACTTTATGGTAATAGAACTTATGGGTTCTTCAAAGCAAACAATTGTAGTATAAGTATTTTCTGTTTAATCCATTATGGTATAAAGTTACTTGTTTATGGTTGAATTACTGTCCATTACGCAAATTAAATATTGAAATTAAAATATTTTCAAGTCCAAAAGTAGGATAATGTAATACTACTTGTTGCATTTAAGGGAAAAGCCTAAGTCGTGTTGGATCTCCAGAGGAGGAAGCATAAGAAAGTTAAGGTAATAATAATGAGCTATGTCAGAAGAGAATTGTTTTTCAGCAGTGTGGAGGAGGAGGATGTGGCTTACAGGAATACTTTCTTGTGTAAGATCTGAGAAAAAGACTTGTAGCACTTAACTGA